ACTCAAAATGAACTCAAAGAGACAAAATGAAGAGTAGAAACTGAATTTAACTTTCTTCTCTGCTGTCATGGACTGATGAATATCAAGGCTTTTAGAGATGTTCTTTAACCCTCTCCACCTTAATGCAATTATTGGACTTCTGTGAGCTATTTTATGCAAGGGATGGTTCACATTGGGCAAATCATCTTGAGAAGAGAGCTTTGAAAGTTTGGCTGACTCCTGCCATTGATTAACTTGTACAGAAGTAAATAACCTTGGAAGTTTCCCAACTGTGAGTTTTTACATGGTGTGTCCAATAAATTTATGAAATTGTTTGTGTGGTTTTAGTTTAACTAGACTGTGTTTCTTAATTGATGTGACATATAGATGAAGATCAGCCCACATTCCATGACAAATTGATGCAGAATTGCAGATTTCAAAGGCTTTCTTACTTTTTCTTCCAAATGTATATTTTACTACACAGTATAAACAATATTCAATGTATAGAATAATTTAAAAGTAATGTTCACACCCGACGCCCCCCCCCCCCCAAAAAAAACAGTATATCTTGTATTTTCTCTTGTATTACAACTGCTGTTGGGTGTGCGTGGCAAAACATGTGGGTCGTGTACTCGTGTACTCTGACATTTGTGGTTTTCCCTTCTGTGAAAGCTCGGCTCGGGTGAAGCACTGAATTAACGGTTTTCAGTTTGCTTCTAAAAGGAACTTTCTCTACTGATAAGGGGAACAGGCAGGGGGAGTTCAGGTACATTTGAACTTTGGCTACAATTGAGTAAATGCTGCTGCATTTATTAGAAGGGGGGTGTGGGGGAATCATCCTCTTGAAAGGTTAACACATTTTTACAAGGCATCACATGATATAAAATATCTCCCTGATGGATACACATAATTTGTATTACAGTTATGTAAATGTGAAAAAAATGTCCATATGTCTCAATGCATTGTTCATCTACTGTCGCAAAAAAATCGCGTGGCAGAATAATATAGGAAATCAATTAAAAAAGGAAACTGGGGAAAGAGAGAGCTTAATTACTCATGCTCGTGGATAATCCTTTATTACACCAAAACCTGTGGTTAAATTACTAAATGGCCTCCCATAAAGCACCATAACTTTCTAATCTGTTTATAATTACCATTTCAATGATCCTACACATTAACGTACGACCTTCAGGAACTCTGACCCAGTTCTAATTAGTGGTAATATCTGATCATTGCCGTATATGAAACTAGCCATGACCAAACAAATGGACCTCAGGTACAGCTAATTTCTAGAGCAATTACATTTTCGTGTTGAGGGATTTAGCTGATTATCTGCACAATTTCACACAGCTTTCCCTCCTGTATGAGTCGAAATGACATAACATTATGAGAAATCCTTTGATTAAATGATATCCAAAGCCAGCAACTGTACTGATGCTCTTCGAATCCATCATGTGATATTAAAAAGTGGAAATTGTGTTACTTTTTTTTTCTTTTTTGCTTTATTAGGTGTGCAACACAATAAAAGCAAGAGAGTAGTGGTGTCACAGTGTTTCTGTTTCAAAAGTTTAGTTTAAGAAACCATTTTTTTTGGGAGCACATCGACCAAACACATACCAAAATATACTTTAATATACAGTGTTCTAGACTGCCCCTCAATGTTGGTATTTTTCCTCTAAAACTTGAGCCACTGCAAGTAAAAAAAATCAAATAAAAAATCAAATAAAAAAAATATATATATAAAAAGTAAAAAAAAAAAAAAAATAATAATAATAAATCGACTTGTGCTCTTTGCTCCTGAATAGTTTGTTGTTGCTGACAAACCTCTGCTCCACACCTCAGCCCGCTTATCAGTAATATAGTGAAAATCAATCAAAGTGTGAATATTTTGCATGTCGATTAGCAATGTGCATCCCTAAAATTTCAGTTGAGCGGCTACTGTGCTCACAGTAAAAAAAAAAGTTATTCTGGAGCCTATTATTGAAATGTGTGTGTGTGTGTGTGTGTGTGTGTGTGTGTGTGTGTGTGTGTGTGTGTGTGTGTGTGTGTGGGGGTGTGTGTGAGAGAGAGAGAGAGAAGTGTGTCCCTGCTAAGGATGAACTGCAATATATTTTCTCAAAATAACATTTAAAAAGTTGTTTTTCTTTCAAATCAATTTAGCTTTGCTCAGGGACCATACAACCTATTTACATAGACTGAGTTTCAACTTAATTTTACAAATGTGTTTGAACACTATTACACTGCCTCTTTTTTTTCCCCTTTCCGCTGAGGGAGTCAAAATGCTCCTGCTCTTCCTACTGTATAATTAGATACAATGTATATCATTACATCAACACATTAAGGATACCCCTGTAGGCATCGAATTAAAACGATTAGGAGCTTTGCCAGAGAGGAAGTGAATGTCAGCACAGAGGGTTTGGAGGAAGCTGCCTGTGTGGTCCAAAGACACTGACTCTTCTGTACTCATTAGGCCATTAAAAAGGCACAATGATAGTGTGAAGACAGGTGTAAGCAGTGATTAAAAAGAGGGGTACATTTTCACATCAAGCCATTAGCAGGGGGAAATGTGAGAATTGCTGCCGAGTTGTATGCCTGAAAATGACGAACAAATGACCAAAATATTTATGTCACAAATATTTAACGCTCAGCTTGAGCCTCAGCTGTGATGTTCATCACGTTAACAAATATGCATGTTGCCAGCAGTGTGAGTTCCTCACTAAAAATACACAACGGATACACAAATTTCTCCCTAATAGGAACATGAATGAAGGAATGGAAACACTTAGATTTAGTAATGCATTTGATTGCCATTCTTATCAATCCTGCACAACACACAGTTGATCAAATGGGAAAAAAATGCGGATTAATTAAAATATCTATTGGGGGCGGATGAACATTAAGAAGAAAATAAGTGTTCAAATAATTCATAAAGTAAAGCAACAAAAGGCATTCTGAATTCCCAACAGGCGACGAGGTTTCTCTGATGCAAAGAGCGAACTTAAAATCCAAATAAAGGACTTTAAGAACTAGAGAGGTTTAATTAAACCATACTCATAAATTATAGGAATATCATGAATGCAAACAAGGGAAAGGAGATTATTTGGTTGGGGGGGACGGGGGTGGAGGATTAGTCCAATAAACATTTCACTTATAAATGGGTATTCACTCTAAATCCATAGTGAGTGATAAGGGTGAGAGAGTATGTGTGTGTGTGTGTGTGTGTGTGTGTGTGTGTGTGTGTGTGTGTGTGTGTGTGTGTGTGTGTGTTTTCAGCTTGGTGCACTTGTAAGGAGATAATTCCAAAAAACGCATCTTCATACTGTAAATTGTCATCCCATCCTCCACTCATCCAAATGTGCATTTTTCCAATGCATGAGAGGCCATATTCTAATGAAGGAGGGGAAGACCTTTCACACACACGTCAGGGTATAATGGGGAAAGCTTAGAATAACGTCCGTCTGATTTCCAATGCAAATATTAGCAGTCAAGTTGAGTGTGCGGTGGCAGATTATAGTTTATCCCTCTCACACACCACAGAGTTCTTTTACGCTCCGGCAGCATTTTTGCTTATCAGTGCAATGCAACAATCAACTCTTCTCTCATCCTCCCAGTCTCATGGAGACTTGAAGAGACTTCAAGAGGGACGGGAGAATGAGATGAAGAAGGTGTGTGTGTGTGTGTGTGTGTGTGTGTGTGTGTGTGTGTGTGTGTGTGTGTGTGTACCAAATGAGAAACATGAAAAGAATGATCAACATTCAAATGTGGTTGTGATCCTCCCCAAACCTCAGCCACCACCCATTTTTATCCTTCTCCTCCATTTTTTTCAGTGCCTAAATCCTTAAACATCTTAATTGCTGTAAGCTTAACTGTCATGAAGGGAATTACAAAGGCCTCAGTGAAGTCTCGCCACCCCCATCCACTAAACTATGATTTTCACTCCTAATAACGCAATACACTATTGTTGATGTAATTACACTGTAGGAGAGGCTGGAGCAGACCCCCTCCCATGTCCCCCTGCTATTCTTGTTAAAGCACAATGGCAGTGTGACTGATGAGTTTGTGCGTAAAACAATAGATTTAGAATAGCAAAGATAATTCATTTGGCCCACTGAGTTTTCTCCCATTTTATCGCGTGGAAACATTTTCTTCCAGGTGTAATTTTCTTCTCGCCTTCAAATGATCAGTTAAAACAAACAAACAAAAAACGAACACCTGGGTCTCCTCTCAAATCATGAACTTGTTCATGTAATATTCCATATGTTGTGGAAATGTAAAGCAACTCAAAAAGGACCGAGCCTTTTTCATAACAAACGTTCTTTGAAGTCCAATCCATGCATTTTGCCAATGCCTTGACGTTTACAATGGCAGTAGTGGGTCATTTGTAGAGGTCATGGAAGGTGTCAAAAAGTCGACAACATACTGAACTCAAGCTCATGCTAAACTCTAGCAGTTCCAATTATTTTTACAGAGATATACCTGTGACTGTAAGTACTGACGTGTGGTCTACAGCAGGGGTCGGTAACTCGTGGCTCCGGAGTCGTTACGTTGCGGCTCTGCGTGACTTGGGAAAATAAATTAGAAGTGTATGTTATTTTGTCTGAAAAACATGTATCACTTGTGTTATCTTCTCTCACTGTACCCTCGGTAGCAGTGTTGCTATAGAAATACTGTTGAGATGAAAAAAAATGTAGAGGAGGTCTGTAATGGCGACTATAGTTAGTTGTGGGTGAAGTCTGAAAATTCAACCACCGATTGCAAGTTTTGTGGCCGCTTGGGAAATAGTCAGATATGGGAAGCCGTTCACAGACGGAGAATACACGAAAGAGGCATTCATGAAGATTTCATAAGCAACACACTATTTTACAAATCCATCCATACATTTTCCGATCTGCTTTATCCTCACAAGGGTCATAAGATAAGATAAGATAAGATAATCCTTTATTTAGGCAGTGGACTTGGTATGTTAGGCTCAAGATAATAAAACTCATGCTGTGTTACTTTTGTTGTTGTTGTTGTTTCAGTTAACAATACATCTGCTGATGCACAAGCTTGGACACATCATCAGTGTTGTATCCTGGACTCACTGGGTGTTTCGGGTCTTGCAACAGACACCCTCATCCAGGCGACCCGGCCGAGGTGATCAAGCCTCGGCCTGTGTCCAAGTGGCATGCTACACCCACTACAACCACTGCTCTCCCCTTTTCAACCAGAGCCATCTGGAGGCTTTTTCTGCTGCCTCCACGTTGTTGCCTATGGCCCTTCTACGGTTGGCACCCGTTATGCCTAGTGTGCTGTAGGCTTTGCTCAGGGAGTGGCTGGCAAACCCCCGACTGCCCACCTCCACTGGCATACACTTGGTCTTCCACCCGTTCCTCCGACAGTCCTCCACCAGCTCCTGGTACTTCTCCCTCTTTCTTTCATGGGCCTCCTCCATCCTCTCCTCCCAGGGGACATGATGGCGTTTGACTAATGGTTTAGTAGAACGAATGGCAACCTGCAACAACAGTAGCAAGCGTCATTTTGCCACTTGGGTTATACCATCTCAACTAGAATGTGGGGGATAGTCCCCAAACAATTTTCGTCTCTTTATAAACACACTTGCTAAACCCCAGTGGAACGAATAAAAGACGCCGTGGACAAGACAGTTGTCGTAAAAAAA